AGTACTAAGATATTGTAATTGGAACTAAATTATACATCTAATTACAAACTTACCAATCCACCACAAATTATCAGCAAGCTTCTTCCGCTTGAAATGATGGTTCCAGTTGCTCTTGAAGTGTCGTATGCACCACCTTTGGGACCACTTCCACGCTGGATCTAAACCTAAGATGGCAGCTCTGATGCCGGCGTGCCGATCAGAGATTATTGTAAGGTTCGTCCTCCTAGTACAATGGATCTGAATTTGCCTAAAGAACCATCCATAGCTATCAGCATTCTCTCCCTCGACGATGGCGAAGGCTAAAGGAAAGACTTGTCTGTTTGCATCCGCCCCACTGGCAATCAGGAGAGTGCCCTTGTACTTGCCAGTAAGGAATGTTCCATCCACTTGGATGACAGGGACACAGAAGCCAAAACCATCAATACATGGCTTGAATGCCCAGAAAAGTCGTCTGAAATGGCGCTTGTTACCTGGCTCTGGGGGTTGTATCTCTTCATCTTGGTATCGAGGGGAGAAAACCGTGCCAGGGTTAGACGCCTCCAATGCCAAAATTAACCTGGGAAGGAATGCATATGATTCTTCCCAATCACCAAAGACGGCGGCCAGAGCTTTCTGCTTTCCATGCCACGCCTTCTTATAGTTAATCATATAACCATAACGACTTGCAATGTCAGCGATTATGACTTTCACCTTTAGGTCTGGCTCTTGCTCAATTAGATGCTTGATAGCCGCAGCAACCACCCTGGATTTCAACTGTCGATGGCCTTGGGAAGTTATGGATGACACACATGTGTGTGTGTGTTCACCGCACGGGATATGACCCAGCAACCGTGTCTCTTGCTGTTGATGGCCCGAATCCTAACATTGCACCCCTCGTGATGATTACGGCATCTGACTAAGAGCCTTTTAGTGTTTGAATGAGTTGTGACCCATTCAAAATGCCGAGTCATTGCTTCTGTCTCAATGGCGTGACGCACATCCTTCTTCGAGCCAAATTGTTGGCCCTTCATAAACCCAGTGAGTGGACCCCATATTGGGACCTCTGGCGGCTCCATGTCGCTGTCGACCATCCAATTGTCGTCTGGAATGTGATTGTAGTAGGGGACTGGTACACGGTCACGAGCCCCCTCATCATCATTAGCTGAGTCTGACTCTGGTCCGGAATCATCGGCACCTTCAAGAGGGTCGGAGCTGTCTGCACTGACGTTGATCTCTCCTTCTTCGTCGGATGGGTCACTGACTGGTGCTGGCATGACATCCTCCATCTGATCCAGCTCATGAAAGGCACCTTCATCAGCTCCATAATGGTAGTTGTGAAAACTACCGCTGCCTGAGAGGAAGTTGTACTGAGGTTGGTTGGGCCGGTCCGGTTGAACTTCTTCTTCATATGATTGATGATGACCTTCACCTTGCTCTTGGTACTGAAAATATGAATGAGGATCATGGTAACTTTGGTAGGGATGATCGCCATATAATTCACCTCCACCATGGGTACCAGATGTTTGACCGTGTCCAGAATGACCTCCAACGCCTACGACCGGCTCGGTGTAAACGAACATCTCGGCTTTGGAAAGATTGTTGGACCTCATGAATTCGAGCATGGCGTCTACCTCATCCTGAGTGGTTATGAGATATTCCTCATGCCACAATGACCCACTTTCTCTGTTTGGATATCGGTACACCATACGATCAACTTTTCTCGTGCCATCCATGCAAGTAACGTTAGTGCACATTTGATGGAGGTCTTCGAGCAGCGGTCTGGTAGCGACCTTTATCTTCTGAAAATTGCCACCTACGTAGGTGGCACCCTTTCCGGTCTCTTCCGTGTAACCATTCCACCGTAAGCCAAGCGTGAACTTTTGGAATGCCATCTGCGATAAAACCGTAGTTAAGTTAATATCATAAAAATCAAAAATAAAAATTAACAATACAAAGTAATACTAAATCAACTTACGAATTAACGTTAATCACAAAACTACTAAAGAAATATGTAATACTAAATCAACTTACGAGTTAACGTTAATCACAAAACTACTAAAGAAATATGTAATACTAAATCAACTTACGAGTTAACGTTAATCGCAAAACTACTAAAGAAATATAGAGCTACATCAACTTGTGAGTTAACGTTAATCGCAAAACTACTAAAGAAATATGTAATACTAAATCAACTTACGAGTTAACGTTAATCGCAAAACTACTAAAGAAATATAGAGCTACAACAGAAAATTGAACAGGGAAGTGAGAAGGAGAGGTGTGAAGAGAAATGGTTGTCCGGGAGGCCTTTTATAGGCAAAATCTTGATGAAAACCGCACCTTAGAGATGCGATTTTCGTCTGCCATGCAGGCCCATACAGACCCACGTCTGTAACTTCTGCATGCATGTCGGAAATTAATTGACCAAAACCGCACCTTTAAGGTGCGGTTTGCATGTTAAAATCGCATCCTCATGGTGCGATTTTGTCTGCCAGAAACAGATCGCACCCCAGGCATGCGATTTAACTAGGGCTGGCTCTAAATCGCACCTGGGCCATGCGATTTTAGTAGGTCAGACCTAAATCGCATTTTGGCCATGCGATTTTATTAGGTCAGACCAAAAATCGCTTGGCTAAGGTGCGATTTGATTCCAGATTTTTGGAACGCACTTTTAGGGTGCGATCTACTTATAAAACGCACTTGTAGGGTGCGATTTATATGTAAAACGCATCTACAAGGTGCGTTCTATTAAAAAGGGTGCTATTAGTGGAATTTTTTTTACATGGGTGCTATTTTTGTAATTTTTTTTTAAAAGGTGCTATTTCTGGAAAAATCCCAAGTATATTAGCAAAATAAAAGAACGATAAATGATGAAAAATTGTATGTACCGGGTGATAGTTCCAAACATCCCTTGAACGATGGTTGGGTTGGTCGTACAAGTCGGTTGGATCAATAGGCTCTTGATCCAAAAAGTACCGTTGGTTGTACATATTCACGTCGTCCCCAACCTACGAGAGAATAACAACAAGGTTAGTACATAGATTAATTAAAAAGCTTATAAAAAAACAAAAATTGACCAAAATAATGAGTATGTGCCGCTTGAAATTCATCATAATAAACTCCCTCTCCTTGGAACCACTCGTCTATTTTTTCACGAAAGTCGGACAATAATGTTTTCTGATGGCAGATCGGACTTAGCCGCAACCAACAGACCACTATTTCCTAGGCTTTTGGGAGGGGAGGGGTTAGAGAGATAATTCTAGAGAGAGAGAGTGAAGAATGGTTGTGGTTTGAAGAAATGAGAGGGGGGAGGGAGGGGCGGTCTGGTAATTTCTCCCACCTTGAAACCGCTCCCTTCCGATGCGGTCTGCAGTTCCCGAGGCACTGACCACTCCCTGCAGATGCGGTCTGTGATCCATGACGCCAGATCGCTGAGGTGGCGTGCGTTCTGTCGTTGGATCGCCACCTGATCCTACGGTATCCAAGCCCGCTCCAGAGGAAACACATACCACACCTTGGAGGTGCGGTCTCCAATCTGACGTGGCGCAAAACGCACCTCCAAGGTGCGGTTTATACATAAAACGCACCTGGATGGTGCGGTTTAGTTATAAACGCACATTGGAGGTGCGATTTGATAAAAATTGTGCTATTTTGTAAATTTTGTGGGTTGGATGAAAATCCCTATAGTGGTATTAGTCTTACATTACATAAATGTTTAGTTTTTTACTCTCATAATAGTAATGCACAACAATTTCATGTGATAAAACATTGTCGTGAAGTACAAACTAATTTATCTTAAAGAAAAATCACTTTCCCGCCAACTGGCCGGGGGTAAAATACATTGGGTACCACTAAAGTATGAGAATTGGGGGAGCTATACTACTTAACTACGAATATGACATCGCATACCACTGAACTCTATTATATGTGCACTTTGAACCATTTAAGTTTAGTATTAAGTGCATTCCGTTAAAGGTGAAAGAATATTTTTGGAATATTTCATTTTCTAAATTTCATAATTGGTCCTTCTAGTTTTCTTATTATAAAAATCATTTGGACTTATGAAAATATCATTTTTATTGTCTAGTTGGAATGTTCTTGTGAACACTTGATACCAAAATAATTTTTTAATAGAAAATTTAGAATAAATTATCATTATAATTATTTTCAATTATCATTATGTGTTAAAATAATTGAATTATTCTTTGAATCAAATATATCCTATGAATTCTGTTTAGTTGGAATCCTCTTATTTATTACATGGTTATTTTACGTCTCGTTTTGTTCTAATTTTTTTCAATTACTAGAATATGTTTAATTTTTTCTGATTGTATTCCATTTATTATTCTTTGGTTTTGATGTATTGATGATCGATTAGGTTCTTTTTAACGGTTTCTAATGGTGCTTCTAATTGAACTAGTTGTTTAAATAAATATTCTAATATTGATTTTAAATATATATTATATATTCTAGTATATTTATTATTCATCTTGATATTCTTTATTAATTTATCTATTTTATTGAAATTTTTGATTAGCCATTCTAGAAATACTATATCTACAAGTTTTTCTAATTTTTTATAAGATAAAACTTGTTGAAATATAATTTTGGATGTTTTCAAAAGTTTTTCGTACCAAAAAGTAATTAAAAGTTTGGGTTAGATGGAAACTAAACGGATGCACGATTTGGCGAATTTAATGGTATCTTACGTCCTATTCAAACTTAAGTGGTATATCACCCCAATTTTCAAACTTAAGTGGTATCCGAAATATTTTACCCACTGGCCAGGCTCATAGCTACTAATGATATAAACCGGGTAAATGCCACATTTGGTCACTGGAATTACTAAATCTTGTTATGTTTAATCACTAGAAAAAATTAATATCAATTTTGGTCACTCGAATTACTAAAAAATTTATATTAATTTTTTCTAGTGACTAAAGATGACATGATTTAGTAATCTCAGTGAAACGTGGTATTTACCCGATATATACCGGTTTGCCAACGTTGCTCTATAGTCAGCCCTTGGACGATTTTTTTTTTTGACAAAAGATAATCATATATTGATAGAATCAAATCGATAATTACATCCTGGAATTCAGCCAGGCCTGAAAGTCAAAATAATGACACGTAGTCGGGAACAAAGACAGGGCCTGTCTAGCTACACTGTGAGCTACCCTATTGCTACCCCGACCTACAAATCGTACAATGAAGCCCGGATAAATCGTAAAAACTTGCAGAATCTCCTCCAAAATAGCCCCATTCCGACTATCACGCACATCAGCCTGACAAAACTTCTCAATGACCACCTTGGCGTCCCCTTCAAACCTCATCGACACAAAACCCTGCGTTATACACCAGCGGATTGCTTCCCTTCAAAGACCACCCTATTCCGGGATCGCCAAATCCTCCATAGGATAGCAATTACTCCCTTGAACTGAGAGGGTTGCTGCAAGATAGCCAGCAGCTTCTTCAGGAAAAGAGGGAAAGTGTGTCGGGGCAATCCTTCACCAAGATGATCTAGACCAGACTGAGTCCACAAAGCCCTGGCCACCGGGCAATCAAGGAAAAGGTGTTCCATCGTTTCCGATGGAGCCCAACACACAGGACACCGGGGTAGGACTTCAATTTTCCGCTCGATTAGCGCCTCAGTAGTCGGCAGAATCCTGCTCAAGAGTTGCCAGGCAAATATCTTCAATTTTGGAGGAATGTTGGCATCCCACAGTCGGATCCAACTAGCTTTGTCCATCCAGCTAACCTGCGCCCGCCACCGCCCATTCAACTGATCTAGACGAACTGCCAAGTGATAAGCCGACTTAACAGAGAAGAGACCATCAACAGTAGAATGCCAGATCAGTCGATCTTCGATGTTTCGTCGTGGTAAAGGCATTGCCAGAATAGCTTGGCATGTCGGAGGATCAAACCACTGCTTAACCTTATCTTCGCACCACCGACCTTCCCCTGGGTAGATGACTGTAGAGATCTTTATTTCCTCTCTCTCAGGCAGGACCCGCGGATTATAGACCGGGTGTAGAGGCGAAATTTGGATACGGGGAAATCGACGATTACTTTCCTGCTCTTTGTCGCCTGCAGGCTACAAGTTTCTTTCTTTCCGGCAAACGCAGTGAAACCCAGGAATTCTCATATTGAATTCCGTTCTAGGTGCTTCCTTACTGGATCTAAGTCGTCAAACGAGCGCCTAAAGTATTCATCTTCTCCTATTAGGCTCGTTTTGATCCGCTTCTGAGATAAGGGCGAAGAAAAATGTACCAGTGGAGGAAATTCGACTTCTTCGAGGAGAAGTATGGCGGGAAGAGCTCGATTCCGGACGAAATCTCCGGTAAGATCTGTTGCTCTTCCAGCGGCAGAGGCAAAGTGGTGATCGGCTGCGACGACGGCACCGTCAGTTTCCTCGATCGTGGCCTCAACTTCAATTCAGGATTTCAATCTCACTCTTCCTCCGTCATTTTCCTCCAGCAGCTCAAGGTTTCCATTTCATCTTCTTTCTTTGTCCGCATTTCGATTGACTGCGTCTCTTTATTCCAAATTTGATCAATCTATTGTTGGTTGGTTAATTGGTTGAAATTACAGCAACGAAACTTCCTCTTAACTGTTGGTGAAGATGAGCAATTAGCTTCCCACCAATCCGCCATGTGCCTCAAGGTTTTCGACCTGGATAAACCGCCGCAGCAACAGGAGGGAACTAGCTCAGCTGCTGCTACCCCTGATTCCATTGGCGTATTGCGCATTTTCACCAATCAGTTCCCTGAGGCCAAGGTAATGGCGAAATCTATCTATTTACTGTTAGTTTCGTAGGTCGTTGAAAATGCCGAAGAAAAAATCATTGAAATGTGGTTGCAGATTACTTCCTTTTTAGTTCTAGAGGAAGCACCTCCGATACTACTGATAGCTATTGGGTTAGACAACGGCTTCATTTATTGCATCAAGGGTGACATTGCTAGAGAGCGAATCCAACGTTTCAAGCTGCAGGTTGATGATGCTTCAACAAACAAGATTCAATCGCCTATTACGGGTCTGGGTTTTAGAATGGATGGCCAAACCTTTCAGTTGTTTGCTGTGACCCCAGATTCAGTGACTTTGTTTAGCCTGCACAATCAACCACCGAGGAAGCAGACTTTGGATCAGATTGGTTCTAGTGTAAATAGTGTTGCAATGAGTGATCGGTCGGTAAGTGCTTATAATGGCGATGATAGTAGTTCTTTTCTTGTTGGTTATGAGTTAGTGCATACATTTAAACTTTTATGTGTGTGCTTTTGTTATCAGGAGTTGATAATTGGTCGACCTGAAGCTGTCTACTTCTATGAAGTTGATGGGCGGGGTCCTTGTTGGGCATTTGAGGGGGAGAAGAAATTTGTGGGGTGGTTTAGAGGCTACCTTTTATGTGTTATATCAGACCAGAGAAATGGCAAGGATACTTTCAATGTTTATGATCTAAAGAACCGGTTGATAGCTCACAGTATAGTGGTTAAAGAAGTTTCTCACATGCTTTGTGAATGGGGTAACATCATACTTATCATGAGTGACAAGTCCGCTTTGTGTATTGGGGAGAAAGACATGGAAAGCAAGCTAGACATGCTTTTCAAGAAAAATCTTTACACCGTGGCGATCAATCTGGTTCAGAGCCAGCAAGCTGATGCTGCTGCTACTGCTGAAGTTCTCAGAAAGTATGGAGATCATCTGTATAGCAAGCAAGACTATGATGAAGCTATGGCTCAGTATATTAACACCATTGGTCACCTCGAACCTTCATATGTGATTCAGAAGTTTCTAGATGCACAGAGGATATACAACCTTACAAACTATTTGGAGAATTTGCATGAGAAGGGGCTCGCTTCAAAGGACCACACAACTCTTCTCTTGAACTGTTATACCAAATTGAAAGATGTTGAGAAGCTGAATGTTTTTATCAAGAGTGAGGATGGTGTCGGGGAGCATAAGTTTGATGTGGAGACTGCTATTAGGGTTTGTCGTGCTGCCAATTACCACGAGCATGCAATGTATGTTGCTAAAAAGGCTGGGAGACATGAATGGTACCTGAAGATCTTGCTGGAGGATCTTGCCAGGTATGATGAAGCCTTGGAATATATTTCTAGCCTTGACTCTAGTCAGGCTGGTGTGACGGTGAAAGAATATGGTAAAATTCTCGTAGAGCATAAACCAGCTGAGACCATTCAAATACTCATGAGGCTTTGCACTGAGGATGAATCATTAAACAGAGGATCATCCAGCAGTGGCTACTTGTCTATGTTGCCATCTCCTGTAGACTTTCTCAACATTTTTATCCATCATCCTCATTCCTTGATGGACTTTCTTGAAAAATACACCGACAAGGTGAAGGATTCTCCAGCTCAAGTAGAAATTCATAACACGCTCTTGGAGCTGTACTTATCCAATGATTTGAACTTCCCTTCCAGGTCACAAGCTACCAAAGGTCTAGCTCTTTCACTTGAAGCTAGATCAGGGGAATTGACTACTAATAAAAGAGACACTTCTGAAGAAAAAAATCGAACAGAAAGGCGTCACAAGGGCTTGCTCTTGCTCAAGAGTGGTTGGCCATCTGACCTGGAGCAACCACTTTATGATGTCGATCTTGCGATAATTCTTTGTGAGATGAATGTATTTACAGAAGGGCTTTTGTACATCTATGAGAAGATGAAACTATATAAGGAAGTTATTGCCTGCTATATGCAATCTCATGACCATGAAGGATTGATTGCTTGCTGCAAAAGACTAGGAGATTCAGGTAAAGGAGGTGATGCAACTCTTTGGGGGGATCTGCTGAAATATTTTGGTGAACTTGGAGAAGATTGCTCCAAGGAAGTGAAGGAAGTTCTAACATATATCGAAAGAGACGATATCTTGCCTCCTATAATTGTTCTCCAGACGCTCTCAAGGAATCCATGCCTCACACTATCGGTAATCAAGGATTACATCGCACGGAAGCTAGAACAAGAGTCAAAGCTGATTGAGGATGATCGGCAAGCTATTGAGAAGTACCAGGTTTGCTCTCTACTTTCACTAGTGCACATGGCCCTGGAGACATTCATGTATATCTTTGTTAATTGGAAATATGAACTTATTCTTTTGAAATGTACAGGACGACACAGTGGCGATGAGAAAAGAAATTCAAGATCTAAGGACGAACGCCAGGATCTTTCAGCTCAGCAAGTGCACTGCTTGCACTTTCACCCTTGATCTTCCAGCTGTCCACTTCATGTGCATGCACTCTTTCCATCAACGTTGCCTTGGGGATAATGAGAAAGAATGCCCTGAATGTGCTCTCGACTACAGATCTGTCCTTGAGATGAAGAGAAACCTGGAGCAGAACTCCAAAGATCAGGACCATTTTTTCCAACAGGTTAAGAGCTCAAAAGATGGCTTTTCTGTAATTGCTGAGTATTTTGGGAAGGGGATTATTAGCAAAACCAGCAATGGACCCACAACAACTCTTGGATCAGCCAACACTCCTTCTGGAAATGGATACTGATTCATATCGATTGGTAATTTATTCTTGGGAGTTCACTCTTTCATTGCTTGCATCAAGTATCCTTCTATTTGAGAAAGAGGAAAGCTTGAGGTGTTCTGTAAAGCAAAGCGACAGTTGAGACAAGGGCCCTGATAGGGCATCATCTGGATTCTGTAACGCTGTCCCACCCTGAGATTCATGCTGAAACCTGGATTGTCACCTTCCCGAAGGAGCAACCAAGGCTGTTGATGGCTTCGCATGGTATGAAGTCCCCCTACAGGTGCACTTTTCTCCTCTATTAACCCTTTGAAGATAAGCCTGGAGACTATATAAACCAATGTCGAATCTTTGCTTTTTTGCATGGTTGTGTGTGTTGGTTCATTGAGTATATTTCGATCTTGCACCATTTGTAGACGCAATTTAGTTGTCGAGGCTGTAAAAGTTAGCAAAAGATCTGAGGTCTGATTCTGGCTACACCTTCAATACTGCCTTCAATATTAGCACTGGTTGTGGATAAAGAAATCATTTTTTGCTCCATTTCCCCCTTCATATCTATCTTGTTGCATTTGTTCCAAAGCGACAACCAAATCCTTTCACTTCCAACATTATGTGATAGAACTACCTGACATAGAAATACTCATCTTTCTGGTGTCGAATACAAGCTGGTTGGCTCCTTCTTACCTACCTGGTTGGTGGATCCTACATGTTCACACTATCTAATACCAATTCCGTTGTTTCTTTTTTCTCTGTTCTTTCCGGAGGTCTGTTGTTTGTCCTCCCCGGCTCCCCTGCTGGGGATAGCTCTTGGGTTTTTGTTCTGCCCTGAGATGGGTCTGTTCTGTTTTGCTTTTGTTTTCTCTTGTTTCCTTCTCCCTAATTGTAAACTCTTTCCAATTAATCCTACCATAATTGCTTTTGGCTTTAAGTGGGGAAGAGAGAGAGAGAGAGAGAGAGAGAGAGAGAGAATGCAATGGGAAGATGTTGTAAGCTTCATAATTAGAGATCCTGGGTGTTAACTAATAAATATTCCCTCCTATTTTGGTATCTTATCTGATTATGATTATTGACTTTATGTTGGTGCTAATTGGTCTTCTTTTTTTATCTTGGGTTTCACGATGATGTGAGTTCAATGAATTAGTGGCGACTCTTGTAAATTCAAGCTTGATCAGAATATAGCTACCGATAGCTGCTTATGTGTACTCTTTGTTTAAGCTTGATCAGACAAATAATAGCAGTTAATATCATTCTTAGTCCATATGCTGCATTGTTTTAGAAGTGCAATGAATTTTAACAAATGAGTACCCTTACAATATCGTTCATCCGATTTCAGTTCCCCTATCAGAGCTTTCCCCAAATTTATTACTAAAGTTCTCGTTGTGGTGGAGTCCGGGTAGTTGGTGGGATAAATGGTGTGGATTATTTCCAGATTCTCCATTGCAGATTTATTAAAATGATGCAGTTCTTGAGTAGCGGCACGATGAGATTTTGTCCAGCGGAGAAGATGATAATGGTAAATGTCAATGATCTTAGGTGGAAGACGAAGTGATACACGAGGCGGCCAAGTAGATCATAGTGGCGCTGGTTAGGTAGAACTTTGGGATAAAATTGTCATTTCAATCTAATTGGTTAATGGTTCAACCAAAACTATGAGAGGGGTATGTTTGGTAAGAAATTCGAAGTAGAGGGCATATTTGACGTAAAATATAGTAGAGGGACACATTTGAGAAAAGTTCATAGTAAAGGGGTGTATTATGCTAACTCTAATTTGATTGAACTGCGCATAGTAATCATGTCATTCATCACCAACCTGCACTTATATGGGACAAATCCGTAGTGTGTCCTTGAGTCAACCGGCCCTATTGATTGTTTCAACTCCATTCACTCCAAATGACTTACCTGTCCTATAGATGAGAGGAGAAGTGAGATTTGAGAGGCTAAAAGAAAGGAAAGCATAAATTCTCAAGATACTTGTGAACAAATTAAAGATATTGTGACGCGTTCAGACGATGTAGCAAGCTAGTCTCACTAGCAAAGACAGGACTACAGACTACACTTACTTAGTATGTCCTTTGTCCTCATTCAGTTGTGATGTAGTTCACCAACTATGGAATGTGAATCATTCGAAATAGAATGACAGCAACATATAATGTTTGGAGGTGGACTAGTTCTCTTTCTACCCAACCTCGTGTCGTGTTTTTGATTTTCGGTTTTGGATCTATATCATGGTGTATGTGATTTATCTCTATTTCGACCAATATGTGGTTATCTTTAGTATTAAAAAAAAAAGTACAAAAAAAAAAAATTCACATTTGCATGTTGGAGTGGTGCTGGCAGTGGTGAGAGCGAAGCAACGGCTGCCTTGGGACCCAAGGACAGAGCCGAATCAATGATCTTTTTTTTTTTTAGGGAAAGAGCCGAATCAATGATCAGGGGCAAGAAGTATAGGTTCTTTCGCTTTCAGCTGGCGGATAAATGCCACAGCTTCCCCTCTTGGTTTGATAGAGTAGACTATTATATGGAAAGAATGCCCCCATTTCAGTCTTTTGGGACCTAGATACGACCTTTACTTTCTTTCCTCAACTTAAATATGACTAAAAGCAGGGAAAGAGTTCTAACAAACCGATTGATCTAGTGTACCATCATCTTTCTCATTTCGAGGAAAGGGTGCGGGGGAAAAGGGAAACAACAGAGGGTTCCGAGCAAGGTTGTCAACCCGCGGGTTGTCCCGCGGGTCGACCCACTTTGACCCTGACCCGGTGAGAAAAACGGGCCACACACACTCGTCGGGTCGACCGCTATAAGGTACCAGGTTGAAGGTCAAATTGTGTTATTTTTTTCTTTGGTTTGCGAAATGCGCATATTTTCCGATTTTTCTTTTCGCCTAACTCAATCTTTGGAATCCTAAGTTGAATATTGATGTATATAAGTGTGTGTGTGAATTTTCACTTTATGCTAGATCTAAGTACGGTATGTTATTTTGGTGTAATATTATATGTTATAACTCATATGTTAGATAAGATTTGATATAATTTATAAGGATAAGTACAATATAATTAGTCTTTCTATATTTCCGGTTCAAACCGGGCTAAAACGGTTGACCCACTAACTCGACCGGGTCCGGGTCAACCCACGGGTTGACAACCTTGGTTCCGAGCCAGCCTAAAGGTAGGAGGTGCGGTCTCCCTAAAATTTTGGAATTCGGTAAAAACAAACATGGGTAACAATATACAATGATTCTGCAGTGTCATAATGGTTGAAGAAAGACTCTTTAGTTTTGCTGGTCAACCAAGGGACGAGGGTTAGACACTTAGACTCCCTTCTTAGCATTCTTTTCTTCTTCTCTTTTCATGTTATTTTACAATTTTTTTCTTGTCCACTTTATACCACATTTTAAAGGAGAATTTCATGTAATTTTCAACCATGTTCTAATTTTCAAGCTGACTATCTTGCTTGATTGTTTTGTCCTTATTATCCAAATTTTCAATTACAACCCCGATGAATAATATGTTGCGTGATAAAATACATCGAATCAGATATATCATGATGTTTTGATTATGTGGTATAAAAATTTTTGTGTACACTTTAAAAGTGAAATTTTCTTTTATAGATGTCTTTTTTAACTATTACTTAGGCACAATAGAAAAAAAATCTCTGGCCCCTCTTACCAGAAAATCTTGGCATCATCCCTTGATTCAGGCTCAATTTTCACTTTTTACCCCCCCAGTTTTCTTAGTCATTTGAGGTATTTTTACTCCGGGAGGTTAGGTTTTACGCTATGTAATGTCTCGATGTTGTGCATTTCAGTCTATAGCAGGTGGAGCCAACCACGGATCGAAAGTTGGACGAAAAAGCGAGAAATAGGGTCAAAGGATGAAGGCAGTAGCTGATCATGGTGAAAGTCGTTAATTCACGGTCATGGTGACCCTGAACTGGAGCCGCAAACCGTAAACAACCAGGCGTCCAGGGACATTTTTGCTTTCACTGGACTAAAGCCAGTTCACGGTCGTAAGACAGTGAACCCAGGCCGCAGGCCGTGAACTGGATTATTCAGACGACGCGTTTTGGCCTGGGATCACGGTCCACGCCTTGAGTTCACGGTCGTGAATTGGGACCGTGATGTGAGCCTGACCTAAGTATAAAAAGGGGGTTTGAGCTGAAGGAGAAAGGGGAGAGACCTAGTGTGGTAAATTTCTTCTTCTTCTTCTTCTTCTTCTTCCTTCTTCTTTTTCTTCTTCTTCTTCAGATTTCTAGACTAAGAAAGTGACGAACCAAAGGAGAAAAGAAGCTAGGGTTTCATCTTCAAGCAAGGTTTTGGGAATTCCTTCTCCAAAGGAGGATCTCTTCAACACAAGGAGCAATGCTAGCATCTCCATGATGGCTTTCCTTCTTCTCTCTCGTGTTTTCCCTTCTCCTAGCATGGAGTAGTCCCTTATTTCACTTGGTGTTTCTAAACCCTTGCTATAATTATGTGAATGTTTGTATGGATTGAATGATTTGTGTGTGGATGTGTTTTAATATGAATTTGGAGGGATTTTCATGGAAGATTGTGTTGTGTGTTTGCCTATCAATCTAATTGCCATTCTAACCTAGATAGAGAGAAAACCCCCTTTCTTTGAAAGTGGCTTGTAAAATTGGGGTTCCCTAGGAAAATCTTGTCTCCTATCTAGGTTAATGTAGGAAAATCCTCTTTGTTCGTATTAGCACCTAGGGTTGGTTGTAATTTGGTTGCCCGTACTCTGATTCGAGGGTGAAGTCTTGGTAACCCTTAGTCGATAGGTCAAGAGAGTTGCTTTTGGTGGCTTGAATGAAATTCCCTTGACCTAGAAACCGAGAGAATGGCTTTTTTCCACTTGTTGCACTTTCCTACGGTTTACAACCTCCTTACCACACATATTCATTAGATCCGACAAGTCATAATTGCTAGTTAGGGTGAGCAACACCCGGGTGAAGTCTTCTCATTTAGTGTCAAATCCATTTACTTTTCCAAACGTTTGAACTTTAGATTGTCGTTGTCACCAAAAACCAATCGCTATATAATGTTACAAACAACCGAAGTAGGGGTACATGGACCGACCCGGGTTAACATTTAAACATACTTGCCCTATATTGCACCCAATTAAAGTTTATACTTGGGCCTTAATTGAGAGTTTTATTGTGATATACGAGATGAGTCATCCCTGTTGGTATAATTGGTTGGTCACACTTACACATGGAAAATGGAAGCCACATATAGATGGGTGAAAATGCATGCATACTATTCTACTTATGAACCTATCGGTTGATTGTGTATCACTTCAGATTTGTTGAATTCATCCATCTTCGGTACAACTCAGATTCATAAAATTTATAGTTTTTCTCCTCTTAATCTACACCATCATTCACTTGAAAGTAGAATTCGGAAGTATCATTCATCATGATAGTTCATGTGTCTTTTCTTTAATAGCAAAATTTTTTATTTAAGTGGGTGACGCTCAAGCGAGACTCATGTCTAGTCCTATCCTACTTTTAGGACATATAATACATGTGCACAGGGATGGAGCCAGTATTCTTGGTTGGGAGGGCGATATTTTTTTTCCAACATACTTATAGTGATAAGAAAATATATGAAAATTTTTTTAACACATACAAAGCGTTCACAAAATTTTTAATACATAACCCACTTAAAATTGTTTCAAAATAAAAAAAAAATTATCTCTTCTGAATTCATGATAAACCCATGTGTTTCATACATAATATATTTACCAATTCCTTAATTCACAAATTCAAATATTGCTTAATAATAAAATAAAATGGACAAATCTAACCAACTATAGATACAAAAGTGAATTTTTTGAAGAAATACGAAACAACCTGTAAACAAATCGGAAAATACGAAATTTTTTAATATTAACTAAAATAAACTTTGATGAAAGAGGTATAGTTCAAACTATTACCTCTCTGCCACATTTTATAACAACTCTTACATCTCTATCACATCTAATATTAGTTATATCTCATAAAAACAAAATACTACATACATTAATATGTCTCATAACAATCAAACAACAATCGAACACTGAATACATCTTATTACGTTTCCAGATATTTTGAGAATTTAGAAGAGGGAGCACTAAATAGAGGCAAAAGTTGGATGGTGATGAGTGATGACTGGGGTGGAAAAGAGCTGCCCATTAACCAATAACTAAACAGAATACTACATAGATTAATATGTCTTATAACAATCAAACACTAAATACATCGTATTATGTTTCCATATATTTTGAGAATTTAGAAGAGGGAGCACTAAATAGAGTCAAAAGCTGGATTGTGATGAGTGGAGCTGCCCGTTAACCAATAACTAAGACAAGTTTAACCAATAGGGAGCACCTGCGTAGATGTTATCACTTTCCAGTTCGATTCTCGAACCACCATTTTGATCTGCTGCAACTGCAGGAGCTCTCGCCGGCAGAATCCGACATTATTGAGGCGAAATGATTGAAACGACCTCATGGAAGAACAAGTGCAGCCGCAATCAATGGCGGGACCGCAACGAACCCCAATCCAGCTCTTCCTTCCGCTTTCAACTAGTCTCATCTCGACTGGTCTCTTCCCGACCGTCTTTCTTCCCCCATTTCCTCGGCCAAACAATTTGGCGTGCTCTAACCGGCCATTTCTCTCGCTGGTAAGTGCTTGCATAATCCATTGCTATTTTGTAATTAGCTCTCATCTAGTCATGTTAGCTTAAACTACCATTACGAGTAGATCGATCAAAAAATTTAGGCGGTATGTCGGGATTCAAATCTTGAACCGATTGGTAGCTTCATTTATTAGCTAGCCCCAAATTCAATTACTACATGATCCTCTACAATCCAGAACAAATTCGTACAGTCGTGATTCATTATTACATGGTCAATCATTGAGGTTCGTTGCTACTAGTACATGTTATGTGGAATACATCAACTTCTTGAATCTCACTTGCTTGCCTCTGCAACGCACGTACCAATTCTTCATGCATGTCCTCCAAATGCAACTTCTGAAGGCTAGTGAGATTTTAAATGCCAGAAGGCAATAGCTTCAGCTGCTGACATCGAATCAATGAAATCTCTCGTATGTTTGGAAGTGAACCCTTTTCTAGAATGATGCTATCTAGATATGGAAGCTCCTGCAGTTTCAGTTTTGTGAGCCTATGAAACTTCCCTGCCTTGAACTGCAGTGACTTGCCATCAAAGGCATTCTTCAGTTCGAGGACTACTAAGCTAGAGATTTGTTAAAGGGAAGGAAGTATATATGCTGTAAGACATGAGGAAACCAAATGTAAGTGAGTGAGATTTGATAAGGAGCTAACCCAGGGAGGTGTTTGCTTTATCGATCCAACCAATGTCAGCTTCTGAAGGGTCAATGGTGGTAGCTGTAAGGAATGTAGATTGAGCTCTTCGTCTGCTTTGATTGACATTAATCTGGGTAATTATCATAAACGGTCACAAAACTATTCACTTTGTACAAAACGATCACAAACTTTTAATTTTGCACGTTTCAGTAACATATGTTTGGACTAATAACAAAAAAGTAATTCCGTCTATCTCCATCCAAAACTCCGTTAGTTTACTTCAATCAGCACGTCATGTCATCAACAAATAATATTAAAAAATTCAATAAACCAAACCAATTATACCTAATCAAACCAGACTCAACCCCACCCAAAAATTATACCCAACAAAAACACAAATTCAATCCGAAAACAGACTCAAATATGCCTTCCCCTCTTTAACCCTAATCCGAGACTCATCCTCACGATCCAATCCCCATCTCCTAATTCAAAAGCCAATCCCATCTCCCAATCCCCGTCTTTCGCCACCACCAGGTCCCTCTGACAATTTCTCGAGTTGAGCAAGTTGATACTCCGCGTCTCCACGGTGACGATGGAGAAGGCGGCGAGGATTTTGCTTTCGGTGGGGCAGTCGTCGACGACTGCGGCGGTGTAGTAGGAGATGCTGCAGATTGGGGTCGCAGCGAAGCTGTGTCTGCCGCTGCAAGTGGAGAGCAGCGGGAGGGCGAAAGGCAAGGGCGACGCTGTCTCCAATCTGTTTTTTCTGAACATATTTATACACAGGGCATAAAATTGTGCGCTTCTCAAATCTCAATGAACCATTTTTTCTATTCAAGGGAAGATCTATACGCACTTTGTTTATTCTTTCCATAAGATGAAATTTAAGAATAAGTTTGGATTTTGGATTGGGAGATGGGGATTGGATCGTGAGGATGATTCTCGGATTAGGGTTATAGAGAGGGGAGATATATTTGACTCTGTTTTTGGATTGGGTTTGTATTTTTATTGGTATAATTTTGGGTGGGGTTGAGTTTGGTTTGTTTGGGTATAATTGGTTTGATTTATTGAATTATTTATTAATATTTGTTGATGACATGGCGTGCTGATTAGACTAAACAAACGGAGTTTTGGATGGAGATGGACGGAATTACCTTTTTGTTATTAGTCCAAACATATGTCACTGAAACGTGTAAAATTAAAGATTTGTGACCGTTTTGTACAAAGTGAATAGTTTTGTGACCGTTTATGATAATTACCCCATTAATCTCAAGTGGGTAAGCCCCGTCATCCTTTGTAACGAGCTGCACAAATTCGGTCCATCCTCGGCATTCAGATTTGTGATCTCCAACTTTTTCAAATCAGTCAAGTTGCTTATCTGTTGTATTAGCTCTGTATCTGCTGAAGATTTGGGGAAGAAGAATTTTATTTGAATAAAAGGGAAATGGATTACAACAGAGAGAGTTTGAAGAAAAACCAAACCCTAAGAAGAAATCTAACACTGATTTCTTCCTAATCAACAGGGGAAAACAAGATAAACAGCTTCCCAAGTACGATTCAACAACAACACACTGAATCGAACTATTTGTAGACACCACATTTTGTCCGGGATAATCGTTTTATTGAAAATAATTTTGTCACTTCATACTACGATTATATTTAAAAAGAAGTTGAAGATAGTTTGGTTGAGACTAGCAGTTGCAAGTCAATATGAACCAACAATTGTCAAATTTGCTCCTAGTCGATTCTAGGGCCTAATTAGCTAAAATAGGATCGCTTTAAGTTAAGATTAGCAGTAGCAAATCTTAAATATAAGTTCTCAATTGGATGGAAGAAATGGCTATAGTGCAAAATTTGTTGTACACTTTGGATTTGGATTCTACATTTGAAATAAGACTAATTGAATAGTGGAATGAGTTTTATTATCAAATATTCAAAGTTGATACATTGTACAACTTGGAAAATGACCACCAAATAAAACGAGAATTAGAACTAATTACAAATGGAAGTGATTGCCTTCCTACTTTAAGTCCAAACAAATTGTGTGCCTGCAAAAATAAAAGAAAGAAAAACAGGTTAGTTGTATTGTAGCCCAAATTAAAATCTTGAACTTAGTTCAGCCCAAGGGTGAAAGTCCAATTCCAGATCAGCCCACAGTTCAAAGACACATCAAGCCTAGAGTTCGGCCCGAATTGAAGTCCATCCCAGCCCAAGCTCAGATAACCTAAAATTGTGTGCCAAGCCTATCCTGAAGAGGCCCTGATCAGTCAGAACTGACCAAGCAAGGTGGAGGCTATTGGAGCAGCCTCAAAATTCGACCTATCAGAAACAAACACGGCATTTCAAGTCTTAACAAAGACTAATGGCAAAACAACACGTGGCATACGATTTAGCTATAAGTAGAGCACTTCAGCTGTTGATTTGGGGGGACGGGGGGGAGGAGAAGAAAAAAGACACGACCGCAACATAAAATTGGAAGACTTTCTGGTTCTTTCTTTTTGATTGGAGAAGTTCATTTCAGTTAGGAGGTTTGAGAGGTAGGAGCATAAAGCGGGGATTCTTAAGAGTCAGAAATCCCAACAAGGTTAGTGTTCGTAATCTCGATCTTCGTTTTACTAATAATCCATCTGCTTTGCTGCTTATCTCTATAAGCTTTATCTACTTAATTGAGCACGTTTAAGTTCAAGCCATCGGTTCAGTTTCTATTTAAGCAATATACTACTACCGCAATCTGCATATATCCGATTTGTTTCAATTGAGCACAGTTTATGCAGCAATAACTTGTACCCCCTATCTAAATCCGTTTGCTCTAGTTACCATCATTAGCCTAATCTTTTGGTAAAGATCATGTTAAACTTTAATCAAATTTCAATTTCTTTTAAGAACATATAGCTCAAACCAACACACAACTTTCAATCGCCAAGATTTCATAAACAGAAACAAATATGATTTTCGTTTTAAAATCAAATCCAACAAAAACTCCATAAACACTAAAATTTCAGATATCAAACCCTTGCAGAATCACAAACAGAGGCAGTGATTTACAATTACCGAAAATAATGATTTTAGAACTTCTTAATTACGTTCCCAGAAATTATTTTCTTTAGCAAATTCTAGCATATTAGGAGTTACTTTAAAACCATCCACCAAACCACCAAGCATGAAAATATTCGAGATCCTCAAACACACATACAACATATTCCCAAACCACAGATCTGTAAACCAAATCTAAACCGAAACACAATCCTTTCCTTTCTTAGTTCAACCACCCCAATCATATTAACCAGAGTTTAGGACAACCTTACCCAGATCTGTCCATTTCCAATAACTTCATCAAAACAAAAGTAGAGGTAAGAATAGATTAAAGAGGTAATAAACCGAAAAAAATAAAATTCATACCTGCGATAGCCGTCGTCAAACCAACACCGTTTTCGTCGCCGACGGATTCTAGGGCCGTCGCCATCCTCCGTCTTTCCTCCCATAAAAAAAACTCAAAGAAAACCCAGAAAAATATTAGAAAACCATCTCTTCAAGAAAATAGGGAAAAAATAACATGTAGGCTGAATCTTACCTAGATCAAAGCCTCTCCAGTTGATTAGAGTTTCTCGGCTCGGGTTTAGTGGTCGGCAGAAGCAGGCTATTCCCTCCATTTCTCCTTCCCCAGAACCAAAACCCAGAAAATTATTACGAATCTGGGTATAAAAATCAGGAAAATGAAAATAAAAGGTCGTGCATGTGATTGTTTACCTAGATTGGAGCCCTCCTCGGTCACTCATAGTCGAGTTTTCCTGGAAATAAACAATAAAAACTAAAGATTAGAAACCCGAAACCCTAAAATTAAGTCGGAAATAGAAGAAAATCGAAAAAAGGGAAAACTGTAACAAATGGGATCAAAGGGTAAACAGGATATAGTTTGGGGACTAGTTTGTAATTAGGAAGGCATATAAAACAAAGGGTCTGCTGTAATGGAGAGTTATCGAATAACAATTTACACAATTTGCTTCTTCTGCCCTATCTCTTCTCTTCTCTTCTCTTCTATTCTATTTTCCTTCCCTGTATTCTCCTCTGTTTCTTCTTCCTCCTGTTCTTCCTCTTCTTCTTCAACTTTCTTTCCCTTTCTTACTCTTTCTCTGTAACCAAACAACTCGCCAAGACTATTCTTTCTCCCAGGGTGTGACAAGGTGGTATCAGAGCCCTGTCTTGGCAAAATGGCGGCGACTCGAGGTACAATCGACGAACGCTTGACTAGTTTTATGGCGTCTTCAGCTCAGGCGGCGGCGGAGCTCGACGACAAGATCGCTGACGTTAGGGCGTTGGTGAATTCGCATACAGTTCAATTGCAGGAGCTCCAGACCCGCGCGGAAGGTCACTCGCAACAATTCGTCACTCTGACGACGCGATTGGACGGTTTAGAGACTCGTTCAGCGAGTCGCTTCACCGAATTGGCAACTCGTTGGGATAATCGCTTTGATCGATTCACTCAGGAGATTCGCGATATGCTTCACGGAATTCTTCCTCTTAGGCCGGTGGAGGCAATTGTCGGCGCGGTTGCACCGCTGGAGGATCTGATTGGCGCTGAGGGCATTTTGCCTCTTCCACAGAATCATGAAGTAGCTGAGCGGGAGCCCTTTCAAGCTGCTCCAGCCCGAGGTAATGCTCATCTACTTCCCCGATTAGAATTTCCCTCTTTCGATGGTGAAGCTCCTCGCGAATGGATTAGCAAATGCCAAATTGTTTGAGACCTATGCAATCCCTAATGACCAGAAGGTAAATTTGGCTGTGATCGGTTTTGAGCGACGGCCCGATGTTTGGTTTGAAGGTTGGAAATATGGCAAAAGTGAATTAGTGTGGGAGGATTTTGTGGTTGCTTTGTGCCAGAGATTCGGTAGTCGTACGTATGGCGGTGTGGTAGCTGCATTCAATAAACTTAGGCAGCAGGGCTCTTTGGCGGAGTATCAAGAGAGGTTTGAGGAGTTGAGGTCCCTGATGTCATGATTCAACCCGGCCTTGGACGAGATCTTCTTCATTAGCAGCTTTATCAATGGCTTGAAACAGGAGCTGCGGCTAGTTATGTCTATGTTGCAGCCCCAAACATTAGATCAAGCTTACCGTCAAGCTAAATTGGAAGAAGATGCCATCGAGGATTGCAAAAGAAAGAAGCAATCCCAGCTTGGTGATTACTTAGAGATGGATGTGGATACAAGGGCTGTGACTGTTGAATCCTTTCTTTCTCCCAACATGGTTGATGGGAATGGTGGTTTACTTGCTGAAAAAGAATATATTCCTATTGTTACACCTGGCTCAACTGTAAAAGAACCTGGGCTGTTTAATTCGGAGTTGCAAGGTGTTTCAAACAAGCATATGGAAGTGGCTGGTTATGTGTATGATGAGGGCAGCTGGGTTCACAGTTGGATGTTGATGCACTGTCAGAGGTATTCGTGTCCTCGTGTGAAGTTTAAACAAGGAGATACATGTATCAACTGCAAGGAATCATATGTGGAAGCTTTGGGGGCTAATGCTGTTGGTGATTGTTTTAGTTCGGATAATGGTGCCACTGAAACTCAGGTGCAACAAAACTTAATTCATGATGATACTGATGTCCTACCTGTTGATTCTCTTGAATATCGAAGTTCTTATGGTGTTGTATTCTCTGATGGATCGTTGATTTATTTCCCGGATACTGGTGGCAATGATTTTGTTATTGGAAGGCCATTTCCTACCCAACCTGCCCTTCTTTTCATTCATTACAGTGAAGGCTTGATTCCAGGTAAAGGGGATTGTATTTTGCTGAAATTTCATAGGTACTGGTGTCCTCGGGTGAAAATTAAAAGAAGTGACGTGTTTTCCAACTTCAAAGAGCCATATAACGATTTGGGTTCAAGGGCTGTTGTTGGATTTGATGCTGAGTTGCTGTTGTTGAGGTCGAAACTGCTTTCCAGACGGGGTGGACAGAATGCATGTGTTGGCGTTGTAGCTGAGGCGATTTTCAGTGGTGATTATGAGCGCTACAGTGTGGGTGTTAGTAAGATGGATAAGGGGTTTTTCGCCTATGTGAACGAAATTGGCAGCCTAGATCATAGCTGGGTGTTAGTGAGCAGTCACGGTTTGTGGTGTCCTCGGGTGCAGTTAAAACGAAAGGTCGCTTGTCCCGACTTTAAGGAGCCATACAAAGATCATTTTCTCGTGGAAGGCCAGCATGAAGAGCTCTGTAATTGGAAGTTTCATTGGGTTTGGGGGCTGAATAGTGACAAAGCTACTAATGCTGCAAGTGACTTATTCCAGGCTACTTTCTTGGCTTCGCTTAAAGTTCATGCCACTATCATTACTTCCTCTGCTGCTGTACCATTGAGGGAAGATGATACTTCCAACACCTTTAGCATTTATGGGCTAGAGAAACATGGTATTGGTCGTGGAATTGGTTTGTTGATGGCCCAAGGGAAAGTTCAACAAGTTGTTTTCATGATCGGGCTTGAAGATGCAGTTGACTTGCAGCATGTTAATGGTGATCGAATGATAGGTGGTAGGTTCGATAGTTGCTTGGTGTTGGGGGAATCTCAAGGGAGAGGTATTGGCTTTGACTTCAAAGAGCCATACAAGGATTTTGGTTGGGCTATGGTCCTGTCTTATGGAAGAGGTAATTGTCCTGGATTCAAGGAGCCTTACTAGGATTCTTCTTTCGAGGAGGGACATGTTGAAGATTGGTTTGGTTGGGATTCTTTCCAATACTGGTTGTTGTGATGTACAGAGATGCATATGCTGCATAAGTTTGTTTGTGGTCCAAAGTATGGTTGCTTATTGTGCCCAATTGACGGTTAGTAGCTGCTGCTGCTGCCTCCATAATTCCAACCATAACACGAGTCTATTTTTTGGAGTGGCTTTGCAAGCTTTCTCCAAATTAGTTCATCCCTGTTTCTTGAATGTTTTTACATTGCAGGATTGATTCTTAGCTGCTAGTTTCTTGTTGTTTTCAACAGGCTTGAGGACAAGCCTGGTTTTAAGGAGTGGGGATTGTAACGAATGGGATCAAAGGGTAAACAGGATATAGTTTGGGGACTAGTTTGTAATTAGGAAGGCATATAAAACAAAGGGTCTGCTGTAATGGAGAGTTATCGAATAAAAAATTACACAATTTGCTTCTTCTGCCCTATCTCTTCTCTTCTCTTCTACTTTCCTTCCCTGTATTCTCCTCTGTTTCTTCTTCCTCCTGTTCTTCCTCTTCTTCTTCAACTTTCTTTCCCTTTCTTACTCTTTCTCTGTAACCAAACAACTCGCCAAGACTATTCTTTCTCCCAGGGTGTGACAAAAACCCAACCTCAAAACCGCACTCAGTCTTCGTTTTCGTCATGGCTGGCGGTGCATGTCACCATCGTCACCAGCAGAGTTAACGGAGCGATGAAAGGGAAGGCAGCGTGTCTTCATGCTTTCGATCGCGTCTGGAGGCGGCTAGAGGAGAGGAAGAGGGTCTCGATTAGGGTTTTTGGCTTCTTTCTTTTGAAGAACAGAGGAGAATCGAGAGAGAGCCAGAGAGGCGGGGAAGAAGGCGCCGTCGCGGTGTTGGTTCGGCTAGGGTTTGTGAAGAGAGACGAGAGTGAGAGAGAAGGAGGTGAAGAGTTTACGTTTTTTTTTCATTCTCGTTTCAGAGGAGGCGAAAAGAAAGAACAGAAAAAGAGAGAGAAAGGAAGAATCGAGAGAGGAAGGCGGCCGCCTGTTTTAGAGTTAGGGTTTGATTTTTTGGGTCTTAAATGATGATTTTATACCTACCCGCCAAAGACCATTCTGCCCCCCGGGTTCCCTGCCATTTACGTGGCCTTGCCACCGCATTTTTGGAAAGTTACAAAACTACCCTTCTCCCATCTCCATACCAAAAAGAGAGCCAATAAAACATCATAGCCAACGAGTTTCGAACCCGCGTCTGTAGGACCGAAAGCGAGCAAAGAGTGGCGTTTTGGCCAGTTCGGCTGCTTGCCCGTCAAGCATAAGTTTAATCATCCCATTCATCTTTATTTGTTTTAAAACCCTTAATACGAAATGTAGAATTGCGAATTAAGTTTATCTCATTTCTTTTCTAATACGTCAAATTTCCTCTTAATAACTGAAATCCTTATATTATCTTTTTATGATTTCATAATATCAACCTAAATTTTATTAACAATAAATTTCGATACGAGAACCACGATCAATGGAACGTGGTAATAATTTTATTTAAAATTATCAAAGTCCAAACGAACTACGTGTACTTTGATCCCGTCTAACGGGTACGTAGGCAACCGATAAGGTTCGAGTCCAACTAACCAATTAACTTTATCTTTTAATTGTACGTCAGTGGACGTATAATTAAATTACAACCAATACGATAAAATCATTTAACGGTCCATTGGGACCCCTAAAATTACAAAATTATTACTAAAATACACCCAACTCGCATAAAAACTTATCGACTTAAGTAGTACCGATTCAGGGCGTTGTGGGGGTGTTGCTTAACTTCCCCACACGTAACCGTACTCCCGAACCCAGAACTTCATTTTCGCAGACCATATCTCGGTTCTGACCCTAAGGTTAGAGCCGATCCTAAGAGTGTTCGATCCACTCCAAGTAAGATCGATGGCGACTCCCAAAAATGCCGACGCGATGACGTTGGACCCCCCGGAGGGACGGTTGCAACACTACTGAAGCAAACCCATAACTATGGACCCAATATAAAAGATTAAAACTTTCCCAAATCAATCTATAACTGCCCAAAGAACTACCTCTTCTTACAATCAGGAACTGGTATATAAAGGGAAGAACAGGAAGACCGTTGCCGCCTTAGTCATGATGAATCTCCAACGTTATTGTCACTCTATGGTTTGTAGAGGGTGGCGACCTTTTGGAGAAGAACGAAGAGGAAGAGAAGAACCAGAATAATGAGCGGACTTGGAAGAACGACAAAAGGCGAAGAGAGCTTCTGTATTGGTCTTGGAGGAACGTTGTCGTATGGTTGTTGAGGGAACGACGTCGTATGCGGTATGACAAGTCAACAATTTCCCCCTTCGTTCGACAAGTCTGACGATCCTGCAAAATAGACACAGAAAAGAGCAACAACAATCCAGGAAATAGCAGAAACTTTCATTGCACAACTAACAAGTACAGTAGTAGAGTAAACAAGGGGAAGGTTCCTCCTGAACATATGCGTCCTCAAAGGAATCGCATTACAAAAGTTCTATTACTAGTAGGAAAACATAAAAGCTGAAAACAAAGCAAGTCCACATATGGGTCAGCATTACAAAATAACTGCAGGCAGGAAATCCTTAGTAAGGTGCAGATGCAGCAGAGTCGTCTGAGGAAGATGTTCCTTCAGACAAGGTAAAAACAAGGCCGACTGATTTGTTGGATTCCCCGAGAGGCTTAGATTTCTTAGCATGAGAGGCAGTCTTGGGGTAAGGGCCAAGAAGTGAAGCAGAGGGGAGAGGAGGAGGTGGAATGTCAGTGGGAAGGTCTAAGACCATCAGGACATTCAAAGAACTGACATAAATAGTGGAGGACACACTACGATAATCAGAGAGGTCAATTCCAAGCTTTATCAAAAGGCGGGTGATGATTGATCCAAAAGGGAGAAGCCCTTGATAGTGCTCGTCTCCAACAGGGAGGAAAGCACCAAACATTATTTGAGTGATGTCCAGCTTGTGCCCAGCAGTGGCGCAGGAGGTGATCCAAAGATCCATCGGCAGAACTCTTTCAAGATTGAAAGTCCGAGGGAGGATCACACGAGTTAGGAAATAGTGGAAGATTCTCAGTCTTGGTGGCAGCCAGCTAATAGGTATAGGGACTTCTGAGCCACCAGTGGGTTGAGTTGAGAAGTTTCCATACTCAGTAGAAATATTGAACTCATGCTTCCAAAACTCTGTGGGATGTATGATGTCGAGGCCCTTAGAAGAGAATCCAAGGATTCCTCCCAAAGCAGCAATAGGAATGGTCAGCATATGACCATGCACCACGGTGGTGAATCTCCTTGAACTGATATCTTCAGAACGAAGGTTCGAATAAAATTATTTGACAGCTCTAGGACAGGTAGAATGGAAGGGTTGTCGAAGGAGGAAACCCCATCCAAGGCTTTCAATGAGGGAGAGGATATCATACTTATAGACCTTCAACTCGTAAGGATCAATTTGAGTGACGTGTTGAAGGCTTCTGTTTTCAAAAAAATTGAAGATGGAGGATGAGTGAGTGAAAAGAGCAGAAATAGTTCACTCATAATTTTTTTGTTTTGTTAGGAAGGCAACTGATGGAGGATGAGTGAGTGAAAAGAGCAGAAATAGTTCAGTATAAATAGAGGAAATGGAAGGAGGGATGAGAAGGTAGCCGAAGAGTTTCAGCAGACATGAGAAAAAGATTGACCATTAGGAGATGAGGATTTAAACGTAAGTTAATCATGATCTGAAAAGTAAATAAATCAGTGCACAGCTCGAGAAGGAAACAAGGCCTAGAGAAAATTTACTCTATTTCTTCTTACTTTGTCAGATGTAAGATCTGGCTAAGAGATTTTAACCCGATTTCTGTGCATAGTTGTAAAAACCTTTCTCTAGAGAGAGGTTTGGTAAGAAGGTCAGCAAGCTGAGAATCAGTAGGCACAAACTGTAAACAAACATTTACAGCCTGAACAAGGTCGCTGATAAAATGATATTTGATTTCGATGTGTTTGGTTCTGGAATGTTGTACATGATTTTTTGTCATGCATATAGTGCTTGTGTTATCACAACAAACAAGAACATTTTTAAGACTGAATCCATAATCTGAAAGTTGAGCTTTCATCCACATTAGTTGAGCACAACAACTGTCGGCTGCTATGTATTCAGCTTCAGCAGTAGAGAGTGCAACAGCTCCTTGTTTCTTACTAAACCATGAGACTAGTGTTGATCCTAAAAATTGTATTGTTCCATACGTGCTTTTTCTATCAACTAGACTTCCCCCAAAATCAGAAACTCTATAACCAATTAATTCAAAGGAGTCAGTTAATGGATACCATAATCCTACATCAGTAGTCCCTTTGAGATATCTAAAGATTATTTTTACAGCTTTGAAGTGACTTTCTTTTGGGTTTGATTGAAATCTGGCACATAGTCCTACACTAAATTGAATGTCTGGGCGGCTGGCTGTGAGATAAAGTAACGAGCCTATCATTCCTCTATATCTTTTTCACAGAAAGGAATACCACTTTCATCTTTGTCAAGTTTTAGATTTGTAACCATTGGAGTAGGGCTGGAGCTTAATGAGTTTATGTAAACTTTTTACGCAAAGAGTCAATGTATTTAGTTTGTGAAATAAAAATGCCAGAATTAGTTTGTTTAATTTATAAACCAAGGAAATATGAAAGTTCTCCCATCATACTCATCTCAAATTCAGATTTCATGGTTTCACAGAATTCATCACACATTGAAGGGTTTGTTGATCCAAAAACAATGTCATCAACATATACTTGTACTAGTAGTATATCTGAATTGCATCTTTTAATGAATAGGGTTTTATCTACACTGCCCTGACAGAATTTTTCATTTTTTAGAAAGGTAGACAGTTTTTCAAACCAGGCTCTAGGGGCTTGTTTTAACCCATATAGAGCTTTGGATAGCTTGTAAACATGGTCAGGATGTTGATGATCAATAAATCCAGGAGGTTGACTAACATAAACTTCTTCCTTTATTTCTCCATTAAGAAAGGCACTTTTAACATCCATTTGAAATAATGGTATTTTCATATAGCTTGCATATGCACACAGTAGTCTTATGGATTCAATTCTAGCAACAGGGGCGAATGTTTCATCAAAATCGATCCCTTCTTCTTGAAGGTATCCTTGAGCAACTAGTCTAGCTTTATTCTTAGTAACATCTCCTAACTCATCTGTTTTATTCCTAAACACCCATTTTGTACCAATAATTATTCTGTCAATAGGTCTAGGTACTAATTCCCAAACTTATAGTCTAGCAAATTGTATTAGTTCTTCTTGCATTGCACACAACCATTCATCATCAGTCAGGGCTTCTTTATAATTCTTTCGTTCTAGAAGAGAGACGAAGGCATACTGACTTGGCAAGTACTTACATCGAGTTCGAATTCTGTCATTTAGGTCACCAATTATTTGAGTTTGAGGATGACGTTTCTGTATATGAGCAGGTGGAGCTTTATCATCTGTCTTTACTTCTTCAGACTGAGGCAACTCTTCAGGAGATGTAAGATCTGTTTGCTTGACATTGGGAAAAATGAAATCCACATTTGCTGCACAAATTTCTTCAGAACATGCAGAATCATCAAATTTTACATAAACATATTCTTCCACTCTTTTTGATACATTACCCTACCCAAAGTAGTTTGGGTTTTACCCATACCCGCATAAGAAACGGGTAGAAAATTAAAACCATGCCTATACCCGTTCGGTTTTCTGGTATCCACGGTTATCCATGGGTAATAATTTCTCTTTGTAAATCCAACTAATATGTTAACATTCGAACATATTTTCACAATACATAAGAGGAAAATTACGACAATAATTCGCTAAAATGAAGAAAATTAATCAAAACAACTCATATAAAATATGTTAATGATTATTTCTAGACAAAATACATATTCATGTGTATAGTCGAGCGGTCTTGGGTTGGATAGTGAGAGAACCATGCCCAACCATTACCCGCAATATTCGGGTTCGGATTTTACCCGTACCAGCAAAAAGTCCTTCGGGTTCGGGTTTTAACCTACCCGATTAGATCGGATTCTGGCGGATATCCACGATTATAGATATTTTTGTCATCCCTATTTGTAACCTTGCTTGCATTTCATCAGTATTATCTATCTTTGACTCAGAAAACTATCATCCTTTTGCAGGTGGCAGAAACGGCCTTATTATTATGGAACAACGATCATGTGGAGAACCTAATCAAACAGAAACAAAAGATTATACTTCCCATTATCTTCCCTTCGTTGGAGAGGAACACTAGGCGTCACTGGAACCAGGTTGTGCAAAGCCTGACATTGAATGTTCGGAAGATATTCTCTAACGATGACTCTTGATCTCTTTGAAGAATGCTTGCTTATGTTCCAGGAAGGCAAAGCACAAGAGGACGATATCAAGTCGAGACGGGAAGCCACATGGAAATACCTCGAAGATATTGCTGGCAAGGTGTTGGTCTCTCCTAGAACCTCAGCAAAGCTCATGGCATCTAGCTAGCTAAAAGAATCGTTGCATATCCTTTTTAGAGTTGGAGCTATTATTAGGGACAACAAGAAGAGATCAGGTGGAAAGTTCGTTCCTTTAAATATGAATCATCTGCCCAATTGCATGTAAGCAGCATATGTCAAGAGGGTTGACATTGATAAAAATGGGGGAAAATGAATTTCTTGAGAGCTTGAAACTTGGTTTCATGCTATATAGTTTGGTGTATATTGATATATGGTTTGAATCGAGGAAATATTTACTCAATGTAGTGCCTCCCTCGGGCATAGTTGGACAGTTGGATGGAGTGAGTATAGCATTGTTGTTTATTGCTACTACTGAAGTTGTGCTTGATCTACACTTGTTTCTCTGGTGATGCTGGTGGTGGTGTTGCAATTTAAAGTTGACAGAAGGAACAAATGAATGACCTGCAAGCTGATCACCCTGAAGTTGAATGACCTATAATACACCTAGTCAGAGAATTAAATGGGATATGATGCTGAAACAAAATTCAGTTAAAAGGGAGGGAGGGGTTCTATACAAACCTGACCACTCAGGGTCCTAGAAAACTGTACCATTCCAGCAGAATTACATCTTCAAGTCCTTGAGTATCTTCTTGCTGTTGAATTGTTTCTTTTAATCTTGCACATTAGTCAGGCTTGTCCTCATGTAGAGTAATTTGACGCAATATGGGTAGTTGAACGGCAACCAGACATAAGGATGACAACATCATGGTATGAAGTTGCTGTGATTTGTTTGCTGGCCAGTTAGCACAGGTTACGGTAGACTGGATTAATAACTGTAACTATAAACCGCAAATGCTGAGCGTATCTGCGTTCCAAGGATTCTGAAAAGAAAATGGTTGTTCTATCAAGGATCCCATCTTCCGAGCAAAACATGGAAAGGAGAGTTTCGAGGATGATAAATTGTTCATTGAAGACTTGTATAGGAGTCATACTAAACCTCCCCACCCTCACTCTCGGATAATGACTGAGCTGTAGTATCACTACCAGTTCCTGATAGGATAATGGGATGTTGTTGGTATCGTAACTTGCATGAGAATATAGTCCTGCTGAACCTCCACCCTACAAGAGAGAAAAATGAGAGAAACGAGCTAGATAAACCGATTGCGATTGTCCGGTACTTTGGCGGCGATGCTATTCTATGGAGACGGAAGCCGAGGAAGACAAGGGACCCAGTTAAACAGATTTGATGTAAGAGGGAGCACTGAGGGATTTCAATCGATAGGTAGACCCGGGAGATGGGATTGACGACGGGCAAGTCGCCGAGAGTGGCCGCCGGCGAGGGAGATCGATGAACTGTGCTCCTGGTTCATTTGGCATCCGTCGATCCCTGGATTCCTTTGCCTCTGTTATACAGATTCAATGTAGGAGAGAGAAGATTTCAATCGATAGGTAGACAGGGACATGGAATCTACGACGAACAAGTCGCCGGGAGTGATTATGTAAAGGCGAGGGAGATCGATAAAATGTGCTTCTGGCTCGTTTGGCGTCCAACGATCCCTATTCTGATTTTGCCAAAAAATCAGTGACATTATTTGTAATTTAATTAATTAAACTGAAAAATGAAAATAAAGTATTGAACGAGAATCCATTCCTAACGGGCCACCTGGGTTTTGTTGTGATTAATAAAATTAAACCAATGCCACGTCACCGCCACATGAACCAATGAAAAATGGCGTTACGGGGTGCCGTAGTTTTTACCCCGACACTGTAGTATTGGTTATCTATATATAAGCTTTGTGAGGTGGTGGCCAGGGACACAATAGGCAGAGAAAATAACCAGCACCGCATTATTTGCAAATAACACCGAGAGAGGTGTTATTATCATTTATCAATAACACATTTATGTGTGATTTTGAAATAACTCCACACAAATAACCGAGTCCACTTAGTTTTATCCTAATAAGATATTTGAGCATAATTAACTCATTTTGAAGGGTTAATAATTTATTTTGGCTCGAACTATGACCATATAATCAACTTTGGCCCGTGGTTTCAGAAATTAACATCCTGGCCTCAACTATGCAGCATATAGACTCAATTGGCCTGACACATGGTTTGACCGTCAATTTGGATGGTCAACACGCCATGTCATTAACTCGTCAGCCTAAAAATTATTAAAAAAATCAAATTCAAATTATTTTCCTAATTTCTAGAGGCGGCTGCCGAGCCCGGGCAGGGTGCGAGTGGGGGCGGAGTAGGTACAGGCCCAGTGCAGGCAAGGTTGGGTGCGGGCCCGGGTCTTTTGCCTACGCCTACGGCCCAGGAGATTGCGGCCCGCAAGGGGAAGGCCAAGATGGCAGGCTATGACGCGGATGGGCCTCCAATGAATGCTGGGCCAGAGATGGTAGGCCACTATGCGAAAGGCGTCAATGGGCTAGGGTGGTTGGACCTGGATGCTGAGCCCGAAGATGACGAGTTCAGCCTGGCGGATCCACAAGCGCAGTGGACCGGACCGGAGGCGGACTAGAGGGGGCCCGGTGGGCCGGGGAGGGCCGCCGACCTGGCTGGGCGGATGGGTTCGGGTCCCGCAGGGCGGACCATAGTGGGCGGGGCCGAGGCGGGTTGGACCGGACCCGGTCGAAACTTTACGGGGCGGATCGATGCTGGGCTAACCGAGGTGAGCCAGACCGGGTCGGGCCGGAATGGGTCGGCCCGAGGTTGGTCGAACCGGGGATCGTCCGAGTTCTTCCAACCAGCAGCCAAGAAGGGTGGACAGCAGGGGACCATCTGGTTGGGAGGGCCCGCATGGGGCACCCTATGTTCCAGGTGGATACCAAGGCCCGCCAGGCGGCTATCCGGGGGACTACGGGCAGGAAAATCCAAGCCGGGCACCGGAAAATACGTACGGGCAGCCGTGGAGGACACCGGGTAACGACAGGTATGGTTCGTATTGTATTAACTATGAAGGAGCTGATGGAGTGGTTTTTCGCGCCAAGCCTTCTACCATTGAATTTTGGAAATTCAATGGGTAAGAGGATGCAGGTCTTTGGTTGTATGCAGCTAAGAGGTGGTTTAGAAACCATCCGATTCCGGAGGAGAGAAAGGCCTATCTGGCATCGTTTTATTTGGAGGGTGATGCGCTCCAGTGGTGGGAGTGGATGGAAAGATCATACGCAGCGGCCGAGACTTTGATTACCTGGCCCATGTTTCAGGAGGAGCTCCGTTATCAGTTCGGGAAGTCATAAGGGTGGGCCCCTGAGCAGTTGGCCAAGCTGAAGCAGACCGACACTGTGGGCGATTATCGCGCTGAGTTCTTCAAGATGGGGAACTAGTGCAAGGGAGTTCCGGAAGACACGTTGGTGGGGCTGTGCATGGCGGACCTCAAACCCGAGAAAGCGACAATAGTCAGAGTATTTGAGCCGGATTCCTTGAAAGCTGCTTTTTGTCTTGCAAGTCATAAAGAGGAGGAACTTGCCAGCTGGAGGAACTCCATAGGCCGTTACCCGAAGTCGAGTGGAGGTGGAGGAAGCAGTGGGGCCAGTGGTAGCCGTGGAGGAAAGGCGGCGGGAAATGCAGCGGGGGCACGGCGCCAGTGGCTAGGATGGGACCGAGGGCCATACCCAAAGGGTTCGTGTGACTGTCGCCGGCCGAGATCGAGCAAAAGAGGCGGGAGGGCAAGTGCTTCAATTGCGATGGCCGGTTCACCATTGGTCATCAATGCCCAAAGCCGGACATGATGTTGGTCGGACGCTGGGAAGATGAAGCAGAAGACGCGGCCGAGGACGCTGTGGATGGGGAGGAGGAGACCTAGTGAGCTCGAGAAGCAACCTTGGGGACAAGGTTAATTTTCAAAGGAAGCGGGGATGATAGAAACTTGCATTTTTAGTACTTTGATTAATTGTCGGTTATTTGTTATTTTGAATTATTTGGGCTGTTTAGGGAAAATAGTAATAAGTCGGGTAGTTGGTAATTGTTCATTTATATAAACTGCTTGTAAGTGGGATTAGGGATTAAGCAAGAATAAACCTAAATCCCAATTGCCTCTCTCTCTCTTCCCTTCCCCTCTCTCTAGCCGCCGCGCGGCCTCCCCCTTCCCTCCTCCTTCTTCCTTCGTTCCAACCCCAAAATCCTCTCTTCCTTCTACTTCTGATCCTACCAAGGTCAATCCCTAGTTGATCTTTTCACTATCCGAATCTCTAGATAGAGCCCATCCAATCGGGTTCTATCAAAATCCTGTGATTCTTTTGACAGCAATGCAAGTGATGCCTGTGACAAGTTGCGCTTCGCCCGTTGGCATCTTCTTGCTTTACAACTGAGGTAATTATGATTAGAACTCCCTGAGAATTTAAATTCTTCAAGTCAATGCCAGTTTGATATGTCTTAACTTTGCTAATTGGAAATGTTCTATTAGACATTGAATTGTTACTAGGGTTGGAAATTTTACCCATACCCATAGGTTTTTAATTATCCAACCCATTTGGGTTGGGTGTGAAAACCAAGTCAATTATAAATGGGTGAAGTTAGATGGGTCTACCCCATACCCATTATGTTGGATCTACTCGTGTTTTACCCATGGACTTGGGTTAAAAAATCCACACCCAAATAATTATAATTTTTTTTATATCTGTCCTTCAAAAAATCTGACTCGACATTCTCTCTCTTCCCTCTCTCTCTCTCTAGCCTCAAACACCACCGACGGCCAGCTGCGCCTTGCACAATCGCCGACTCTGCCTCAATCATCGCCTCCGCCTCCTCAAGACCATCATCCATTGTCGCAATCCTTTGTAGCTGTTGACACCTAAAATTAATTCGACCATAATTAAATGCCGCATTAATTAGTCTCGGCATTTAAGTCGATACCGCGCGTAAAAAACGGTATCGTTAGGAGTCGAGCGGCGTCGCGGAGAACTAAAACGGTACCGCAAGGAAGCTCAGCGGTGCCGCGGTACTGCAAACGACACCGCTTACCGAAAAACAAGGGGCCGCGAGTATAGTTGGGTTAGAGAAGGGAGTCTTATAATTAATTATTACCTTCATTCCTTATAGGAA